AAAGAAGCCACATCCAACTCTGTTGAGCAAGGGCAGTACAGGAGCCTAGAGGTGGACAGCTCCTCTGGGTGGATGGAGCAGGCCAGGCCACTGCCTAGTGTCTCTGGCATGCCACCCAGAGAATGGAGATGAGGCAACATCACTGAACTCTTCTTTCTGAATGGACTGCTTCTGCCCTCAGCATGGATTTTTTTTTTCCAAAATTGAATTCCATTTTGTATTTCAGGCTGGCCTGGAACTCTGTAGTTCAGGTAGCCTCCGTCTTTCCCTCTGCCTTCCTGCCTCTCAAGTGCTGGGATTACAGGTGTGCACCGCTACATCCCTCCTACAACACAGTCTCTTGACCTTGGAGTTGTTAGATTTCAGGGCTGGCTGTGGGAGGCACCACCAACATCTCTGGCTTCCCTGCCTTTGCTTCTTCAACCTAGCTTAGTGCCTGCCCTGCTTCCTGGAAAGTCACTCACAAGGTCCACAGAAACAAAAACAAAAGCAACCCACCTGGAGTCTTCAGATAACTGCCTGGCATTTTACTGTGCTATATGGGTCAAGGAACGAGCTCGGGGTACTCTTCCGTGTTCATTTTACTGACAAAACACCCCAAATCAGACTAGTACTCCTGTGGCTGGTCTAGGCTCCAAGGAGCTGGCTCAAGCAGCCAAGGGTGTGGTTGCCTCTCTCTCACAACAGCTGCACTGGTCCTGCATCCAGAGTCTGGCCCCCGAGGGTGCACTCAGGGCCCCCGTCTCCTGCCAGAGCAGACTGGAAGACAGTCACGTCTGGGGCCTGGCTGCGCCCTGTGGATGCCTCCACGTGGTACATTATTGATGGTGCTTCTAATTGTGCATTTCCCAAAGACTACAGGCTTTTGATGAAAAATTCATGGCACGCCCGAGGATGGCAGAGCCGTCGATCGATTGGCAGTAAGACAGACAAGGGGTCCAGGGTCCCTCGGGGACAACAGCTGAAGGCTGGCTGGAGAGGGGGCAGTCATCAGTGGCACGGTGCCCTCCTCCTGGGCTTCTGGCCCTGGATTTGTGGGAGGGAGGGGTGCACAGCAGGAGGCAGCAGCTGGGGGGGAGCCAAGAGGAAGGGTTGGGGTGGCTTTGAGCCTGTATTTAGTGCCTGCTGGGTGACTTGCTGTCAGGCAGGCATGTGACCACACACCAAGCCTCATATTCCCTTTCCTGTTGGAAAGTATTGGACCCTCCAGAGTCCCCCATGGGCTGCACAAAAGAGAAAGACTTTCTGGAGCCACTCCTGTGCAGTGCAGAGTGTACCTGGAGCTTTACACCCACATGCAGTCTCCTGACAGCCCCATTTGGGGCGAGCAGTGCCGTGTGCCAGCTCAGAGTGAGCCTGAGGCCCAGAGGCGTTGAGTGACCTGTCTGATCGGATTAGTAGTGGGGCCCACAGTCTTCCACTTCACCAGGCCAGGAATTGGGTGGATTGCCCAAGTTCCTTGCCCATCCTCATTGCTCTAAGAAAAAATAAGTGAAAAATGAAGCCAGCAAACCAGAGAAAGTGAGTCTTCTCCCATTCCAGTATATGCCTGCAATACTGACAAAGAGAGGCCCCTGGCAATAGAGATATCGAAGTAGAGGTGTCTAACTCAGAGATCATTCTGTGCTACCCCTGAGGTTCCAGAGAACCCCAACCGTCGCCTATTCGTTCGTTAAGCTAACACATCTTTATGAAGCCTTCCCCCTCCCGCCCCCCCGCTCCTGCCAAGACATCTTGTTGGGTCATGATGGGGTCCTAGCATGAAAAGCTTTAAGCCACACATGTCTGGGACAGACAGGCTAACAAGCAACATCACCACTACCATGCCCCATGCCCTAGGATGGGATCTGTGTAACCAGGCCCACTGGGATAAATAGCCCTGCCTCTGTAACCCAGCGTTTCTAGGTGGTGAGTTGGGGTGTTTGGGTTTGTTTTTCCTTTGCTTCCTAGAGAGTTCTTTTCAAAAACATCCACCCATGTCTGCGCTGAACTAAAGGGAAAGGAATGTGTCCAGACCATCAGGAAAGCAGAGCTGGAGAATGCTGGGGCCATGGGTGGGGTGAGGGAGGAGGGGGAAGCCCAGCTTAGGCTACTGGGGGCTGGCACAGCCGAAGGCACAGGGAGATTCAGGGAGACAGAGAGTAAGACTGATGGGAGAAAAGATGCCTTAAAAGTGAAGACAGAAAGGGGACAATCCGCCTGGGAAAACAGCTGGAGGACAGAGTGTGGGGAGGGGTTCTAGGTAGTGGTATCAGAAACCCAAGGTCCTCAAGGACTCCCATAGTTCTCCCCAGGCCTGTCATTTCCTTATGATTCCCTGACCAAGGAATGAGCCTAGCCTGACTCTATCACCCTATCCAACTGTCCCCCAGCCCGGAACAAAAGAAAGAGGCTCTACGGCTTGCCTCCAGCTAGCTTCAGGGCTGGGCCAAGTCACCAAGCAGACACTTGTTGTAGCAACAGTCCCTGAGGACCCATCCTGGAAAACAGAACTGCTATCAACACAGATGGGGGAGCCAGGGGAGCCAGCCCCTCCAGCCCCCAAAGTTGCCCTGGGCCTAGTTGAAAGCCGCTCTGTAAGTCTGCCCCATACCCTCTGACTCCAGGAGATGGGTCAGCTCCTGTAGGCTACAGGTGTGTAGGGATATGTTGCCAGGCAACCAGCTTTCCCAGAGTCTGTGTGAGTAGGAGGTAAGGTGGGGGAGGGCCAGGCCACCACTTCTAGATGGTCCTAGTCTCAGGAACCTTCCAATGGGATCCATGGTTCCAATCCAGGCCACTAGAATCTACATTCAGAACCCATAGAAGGAGGAAAATGGGGTTTTGATGGGAAAACCCTTCAAGTGGCCATTGTATCCAGTTCATTGAAACCTAGCTATGGTATCCTGAAGATCTAGTTCCAGACCTCAGTCTGTGTGGGCTTTGGAAAGTGGAGATAGCGGAAGGGGCATCTAAAAGGATGCCAACTAACTGCATGCCAGGGCTTGGCAATGTGGAGTGGGGTTAATGATGGTGACCTTTCTCCCTCTAACCCATGACCAAAGCATGTGATGAGAACCCCAGAGCTCCAGTTCAGAAGGCAGCACCCTTAGTGTGCAGAAAAAGACCACAAAAGCACGGGGACTTCTGGCAGTTGGGGGACAGCAGCAGGCAAAGACAGAGGGAAAGCCAGGTTTTGACCCCACCCTGTGAATGTAACCAAAGGCAGCCCCTCTCCCACAGCAGGGGAAAAGTAGGTCACCAAAGGGAAGGATTCCTTGTGACATGATCAGAGTCACTCTGGGAAGAGCACTGTCCCCTCCACAGCCCCCTGAGGAGCACCTGGAGTCCTATACTTCCCTGGCCTGGGGACAAGGGCCAGGTCAGCTCTGAGTTGCTATCAGCAGAGGCAGAACTCTGAGCCACTGATGCTGACTTTCAGGTGGCCAGGGTTTTTCTGGAGAAGGTGGGCCCAGATTGTAGCCTTGAATGCTAGGTAAGGTTGAAGGAGGCCTGGGGACAAGAGGATGAGGAGCGGGAAGCTAGATGGCATCTTCCAGAAAGCTCCATAGACCTCTGTGCCTCTTCCAGTCCCAGCCCCGTAGTCCTGGCCTGGTCCAATTAGCCAGTCTGGCTCCTGCAGGGGCCAATTAGACAAGAGCCGGAGTCAGACGCAGGCCAAGGTCCTGTAGCCCCTCAGAGCCCCAGGAAAACAAGCACAAAAGCTTTCTCTGCTACTTGGGAAAGGGAAGAACAGGACAGAAAAAATGTGCTTCTTTTTCTTTGCTGTAACCTTGGACAGAATGAAGAAGCCACTGTGTCCCCATCCCCAGGAGGGCACCCTTTATAGAGCAGGGGAGACTATTTGCAATAGCACTTTGCATAGATTTGTTGTGGTTCAGGGGCCCAGCTGTCAGTCAGTCAAGGGAAATTATTGGAGGTACAGGATGTCAGATGAGCAGGTCCTCTAGTCTAGAACCTGCTGTGGCTCCCATCTGCTCTCTGTGCTAAGGCAGAGTTCCTGAGGCTGGCTAGTTGGGCAGGCTGGGAAAGCCAGGTCTGCTCCAGCTCTCTGGCCAGGTCCACATGCGTGCTATGAAGTCCACCTGTGTTGTGTGATTTGATGTCCTGGCCCTTGCAACTGTGCTGGCCTCTAACCCGTCATGCAGTTATTCTCACAACCTAAATCCCATATTATTTACTCCAGTGCCACTTTTGCCAGAGTCCAGGCTCTGACCCTACAGTTGCCAGGGAGCTTCCTGGAGGAAGGGGACAGAGTGGAACCTTAAAGACAGTGTGAAATTGAGAGGGCCCCAGAGCAAAAGATAAGAACAGAAGGCTGAATATGACATCCAGGAAGTCCGACCTCCATGCCCACATTACTCTGGGCTCCAACTTCATGATCCTGGCCTTGCCTGGCCAGAGACACCTCTCTTGCCTCTTGCTTCTTAGTTGTACTTCCAGAAGTGAGTGGCGGCCTAGGCATAGCAAGTACCCACACTGCTACTGGTAGCTCTCTAAGGGCAAGAGCTGAGTTCGGGCTTGGGAAGCTGGGGTCACGGCAAGTAGTGACAGGTAGAATAGGGACCCACTGAGGCTATGCCTCCACCAAGGTTTTTCTCACTCCAGCCAAAGCCCGGCTGCAGAGCTGGCCCTCTCCGGTGCTGCCCTCTGAACCTTGGATTGCAGTCCCCCAGTATGTCACCACCTAGTGCCTGATCTCCAGCTCCAGGCTTTTCTGTCCCCACCCAGGCAAGGGATGCTCAAGGTCCCTTGTCTGCCCCCTGGTGGTGGTAAGGTTAGGAAGTGAATAGAGCTTCTGAGGCCACTTGGTTCTATGGTAGTTGTCCTAGCCATGATGAGCAGGAAGGGAGGGTTTTTTGTTTTTCATTTTTCTGGGTGGACCAAGGACAGAGAAACCAGGACTCCAGTGGTACTGGATGTTCCCATAAGTTTGGAGTGGACTCCTTGGAGTGGACTCCGAATTCCTGTTCTCAGAAAATGGGCAAGGCCAGCATCAGTTTGCACAAGCTGAAGGATCCCATTTTATTTCAAGAAGTTGAACTCATTCCTTTTTAAAGTACTAAAAGTACAAAGTTAGCAAGAAAGGTCTCTGAGGGACCCATGGGACCCATCAAAATGACAAAGGTGACAGGAGCGGTGGCTACCTAAGAGAGGCAGAAAGGCAGGGAAGTCTATCAGGCCTCCGAGTAGCTGCTGCGGGGAGGGGTCCCTGGTAGTCAGCAGGGAAGTCTATCATCAGGCCTCTGAGTAGCTGCTGCGGGGAGGGGTCCCTGGTAGACAGCAGGGAAGTCTATCATCAGGCCTCTGAGTAGCTGCTGCGGGGAGGGGTCCCTGGTAGTCAGCAGTGCCACACTGGGTATGGGTCAGGGGTGGCTGCTGGTCAGAGCAGGTGAAGCTTCAAATGCGTCCTCAGTGGGAATGACTTGGAAGCTGTTATCACGGCTCCTTCTTCCCCGGTTAGCTGGGCTTCTCTCTGGGTAAACAATGGGCTTCACAATAGAGGGGGAGGGGAGGAGGGAGGAAGAGTTTCAAGAGTTTTCCCACTTCCAAGGCCAGTAGACATTGCTTGGGGAGTGTGTGTGGCGGGCGGGGGTGGGGGGTAACTTGGGCACACATTTGGGCTCTACCTTTCCATGAGAGGAAGCATCATGTTGCTCCACCAGGAAGGAAGGTTCCCAGTTATAGAGAACAGAAAGCAGGAGGGAGTTCCTGGAGGAGCTGCCGGTGTAGAGCAGAGTAGGTGACCAGGAATCAAGAGACACTGTGGTTAGCCGGAGAGAGTCGGGCACGATAGCACTCAGTCTTCTCCAGCCAGGCCTCACTCCTTGAGTTCCACAGAAGACTGTTTTCATAGACGTCCAGTTGTACCTGTGCCCCTCAGGATGAAGCAAAAGACCATCCAGCCCTTCCTTCTCTGGGCCAGCTTATTCCTCAGGGAGGAGAGTGGAATGGCCTCGCCTTTGGACTGGTTACAACCAGGGGGAACTAGGCCAGAACCTGACCATGCAAAGCCCTTATTAGTCTTAGACTTGAGTTCAGGGTTAAGGGTTAGGCGAGAGCTCCTGTTCGTGGGACCTCTGGGTTTCCATCTGGGCTAAGTATTCATGGAATGTGCTAGTTGGGTAGAAGGCTTTTCTCTTTGCAAAGATTTGGGTATGTGTGGGAGAGGGGCAACACTTTAACCTCTCCCCTTCCTTCCCAGCTGCCCTGTGTGCACAACGCTCAGCTTCAAGTGTCTTTAGCTGTGGGAGAAGTTGAGCTAGCATCACTATAAGTCTTGTTCCGAGCCCTACCCCTTGCCTTGGGCCCATAATCTGCCCTAGAGCTGACAAAGGACCCAGCTGAGGTTCAAGAATTGCTGTGTGACTTCAGGCAAGTCACTGTACCTCACTGGCTTCTGTGGATGATTCTCAGCAGAGGGCACCCGTCACAGCCAGGGCAGGTCTTGGAAGGACAGCTGGGTCGTCTGGAGAAGGGACGTGTGCTGGCTAGAAGGCAACAAAACACTCTAGTACTCCCTGCAACAGGAGCCTGGGGCACACTGAAAGCCCAGCATTAGCGGGAGGCGGCTGCCCTCTGGCGGCAGCAAAGGCAAACCACACACCAGTATCTTGTGCCCACTAGCAAGGGCCCTGGGCCCTGGAGCCAGAGGTTAAACAGGCTTGGTGAACCCAGATCCCGGCTCAGCCTCATACTACTCTCCACAGCCCCAGCACTATTCAGGGAGTCCTATGGCTTCCCAACTCTTTCCAGTTGTCTTCCCCTTGGGCAACAGCCTCCCCATCCCCCACCACCTACTCCCCCGCCCCTCCTACCCCCCATCCCCTGCCAAGGGCTCCTTACCACCCACCACCAACTTCTTTGTCTCCTTTCTCCTCGTTCCCCAACTCTGAACATCTGCTGCCTTGCTGAGGTGCACATCCTGGAGAACTGCCTCCCGGGTCTCCCCTCCCTCTGCTTTTACCCTGCCTTCATTTTGTTTCCACGCCCACTGCCTCTCACCTAACACTGCTCTTCACCCCTATACCAATCAACCTGTCCCTGTAGTTCGGCAGCCAGCAAGCCCGTTTTACACCCCTGCATCATGGGTCCTCCAGTTTCCTGCAGCAGAGGCCAGGTTCCGGAGACCACTTCTTCTAGATTGCTCTTCACTCCCTCTCTCCCCTCCCCCACAACTTCTCCGCCTGGAAGCCCCTCCCTCTAGGTACACCCACCCATTTCCTAAGAGAAGTTTGGGTCCTCACTGCCTCCAGGAAGCCTTCCAGGCTTACTAAGCTGGGAACAGGCCTCTTAGAAGCCCCTTCTGCCACAGACACAGGAAGCATCTGCCACCCCCTCAGTGTAGAGGTGGACCACTGTGGGCAGGGACAGTCCAGCTTAACTCTGCTCAAGGTTCCATGTGGCCCAGAGATGTACATAGTGGCACTCAGCAAGCCTTGACCACCCAGGGGGGTTACTGTGATGCTTTAGGCACAAGCTTTGCTTTTTGTTGTCTGGTTGTTGTTGTTGTTTTTTTCAAGATTTACTTATTATGCTATACAGTGTTCTGCCTGCATGTCAGAAGAGGGCGCTACATCCCATATAGATAGTTGTGAGCCACCATGTGGTTGCTGGGAGTTGAACTCAGGTCCTCCGGAAGAACAATCAGTGCTCTTAACCTCTGAACCATCTCTCCAGTCCTGGGCACAGGCTTTGTGACAGTGGCTTGGGCACACTACTTCCAGCCTCAGTTTCCACATCTGTGTAGTGACGGCACAAGGGCCCTTCCAACCACATATTTGGTGGCAGCCACACGTGTGTTGGGTCCCCATTGGGAGATGTGCTTCAGACTTTAGCATAAGCTCTGACCAGAGTCTAAGCATCTCCCAGGGGCTCCTGCCAGAGAGTCCCCATCCTCCTCCTCAGTGGAAATGGGCCTCAGCCTAGTACACTGGGACTTGTCATAGAAGAACGTCAGGGTCATTCTGGAATGTTTTAAAGCAACTTAAAGTTGTTCCTAGAAGGGAGTTACTATCTCCAGGCACCCCAGTTCCAGGCCAGGGCTAACCTTCCTATTGCCCCCCGTATCTCACTAGTTCTGCTGATTCCTCATCCCACAGACAAGGACACTGAACCTTGTTTGCCACCCCACTTCCTGAGCCCACAGGGTGCTGTGGAAGTGGTAAAGTCCGCCTATACTCTTGGGCAGGGGAAAAAACTAGAACCTGGCACTATGACATTTCTCACTCTGGTAGGATCTGAGGGTTGGAACCCTAGCGGGCGGGAGGGGGGTGTCACTAGGGAAGGAGGATGCAAAGGCTCCTGGGGGCCAGGCACTGTGGCGTGGATCAGGGCCTCTGAGGACATGCCTGACCCTCCCCCAGGAGGTAACCAGAGAGCAAGATCATAAAGAGAATCTAGGGTCTGGAGCATGGTGTCCTGCGTGTGTTCAAGGCTAGAATGTGACGCAGAACGTGGCCCTGAAGATAGCCCGGCTGCAGGCTGCGGCTGGAGGTCAGGGCTGCCAGCTGGGACCTTGTGGTCTCCCAGCCCAGCTGTGCTGCCAAGGTTCCCACTTGGCCATGCAAATGGGTGCAGCTGAGATTCCCACAGAAACAGCTCTGACCGGAGTAGAGAGGATGAACTAGAAGCACACACTGTCTCCCTAGGGAGGCCTCAGTACCAGAGAATGGGCAGGGCCTAGGCTAAGAGCCTGTGGAGGAAGATGGGGCTAATCTTCAAAGGGGGGAGTCCCCAGGACCCACTGACCCTCTTCTAGAAGGACCTGATAACTGAGGCCAGGGGCTGCCTCACTAGAAGCCAACCTCTCTCTGTCCTTTCCTTCCTTATTGATCTGTTTTCTTCATCTCTGAGGGAGAGTATAAATAACAGAGCAATGTTTACTTCCCCCACATCCCAGAACTGCAGAGATGGGGGACAGTGGGCACTTTAACATAATTTCCTGAATGAGAAGTGGACGACCAGACCCTGTGGGGTGGGCCAAGGGGCTAGCAACCTCTTGCACAGAATTCCTTATCTGTGCATGTTCACATCTGTCCCAGTTAAGTTTGTGTTAACGTCCCACATGATCTCTTCATTTCACAATATGCTGTGGCCTTCTCTCTGTACCAGGACAGTGAATTCTAGGACACTCCATACAACCACACCAGACACCAGAGAAGCCATAGTATAAGACTACAAACTGCCGAATGAAGCATTCTTGAACACGTACATGGTAATGCGTGTGTGTTGAGGTGATAACCTTAGAAACTAGTAACCCCATGGGGACTACTGTAATCAGAGCAGCATGATAAGAGGTTGCACATCTAGGAAAGGATAGGAGATGAGTCTCCTCTTTTGCAATATCAGAGACTTCCTCCAGCTGAGCCCTGGGCCCTAGATGCAGTCAGTCATGGGATGTGCCATCAAGTGAAGAGCACCAGCAGAGGGGGTGCCAGCAGGTCCAGGGTACTAAGAAGGAAGGGGGGAGGGTCTGTTGAGTGGAACAGCCATTGAAGCAGAAATGAGACAGACTGAGAATAGTGTCATTCCCCGCCCCCAAACCTGCAAAGCCCAACCTGAGTTCACAATAACACCTGGGCCTCTAGGAAGTCCCAAACTCCATACATGTCCCTGACTCCAAAGTAAGTATGTGTGTGAGTGTGCTTGTGCATGTTTGTGGTCCCAGGTCCAGTTAGCACCCTGGCTGAGGATGCCAGATGGGCACAGATCTGGGGAAGCCACAGCAGATGCTAGGGAGATAGAGCCAGCAGTGGCACTGTCAGAGGGACTTTAGCCAGAATGCTGGACAGCAGCGGCAGATGACAAGTGGTGTCTGATGAGATCCTGCTGGCTGGGGACCCCTCCCCTAGAAGCTGTGCCCCACCGTGCAGCAGGTGGGAGACTATAGTTTGGATATAGCTGGATCCCCTCACCCAGGCAGCAGGTGGGAGACTATAGCTGGGATGTAATTGGAACACACACACACACACACACACACACACACACACACACACACACACACCAGGCAGCAGGAGACCAGGGGAAAGTTGGATATAGAGTTGTCCTTTCTGGATAGGCCTGTGAGACCCACCCACAGGAGAAGATTCCCACACCACAGCCTGGAAGTCCACAGGCAACTCAGAGAGCACACTTGCCTCCTCCCTCTTCATTCCCAAGCCCTGCCTTTTCCAGGGTTTCTCTCTCTCTCTCTCTCTCTCTCTCTCTCTCTCTCTCTCTCTCTCTCTCTCTCTCTCTCTCTCTCTCTCTCTCTCTCTCTCTCTCTCTGATATATTCTGTCTTAAGATACCGTGTACTTGAAACTTGTAACAACAGTACAGAATCCAACTGACAAGCAAATACAGAGCTCAAGAGGTGACTCAATAGGAAAAGTGCTTCCCTTGCAGACACAGGATCTTGAGTTTAATGCCGAGCACCCATGTAAATATCAGGCATGGTGGCTGGTGATTGTTTACCACCCCAAAATAAGGACTCACTGACCAACCAATCTAATTCATGAGCTCTAGGCCAATGAGAAGGTGTCCTATTTCAAGGAATGGATCTCACTCTTGAGGTTGACACCCAAAGCTGAATACACATGTGCCCACGCAGGCACATTCACACACACACATAAAATGAACAAAATTCAGCTCAGTTGCCCTGTATATATATATGGGCCAGCTTAGTTTTGTAAAACAAACAAACAAACAAAAACCAGACTCAAGCACCAGCAGGCTTGAATTTCAGACCCTGACTTTACTACTCATTGTTCTTGTCACTGAGTAGATTGCTTCTCTGGGGCTTGTCCTCTGTTTCCTCCTCTGTAAAGTGGGGATGATAACAATACCTATCCCATAGGCTTGCTGGGGGTTGGATCCAGACCGAAAGCACTTAGCAGGAGGCTTGGGATGTGGGGGAAGTTCAGTGAGCATCAACACTATCATTATTCCTTCCAGACCTAAGTCAGCTTCCTGCCCCCACCTCCTGCATCTCCCCCATCTTGTATCTGGATCCTGCCCTTGACCTTGAGATCTTACCTGAGTCTCCAGGGTCTACTTGATGTCTCTTCTTGGATGCTGGGCTGTTTGGGAAGCTGATGGTAGGTCAGCTCCCCAGTGACTTCAGTGGGCAGTCTAAGATGCTCTTCTGGAAAGGAGCTGGGTTAGAAGAGGGAGCTGAAAGAGAGAACATGTGAAGACGTAGACATGACTTACTCACAAACGTACTTTGAGTATGTTGCCTGCAGGCTTCTTTACCTGATTGCTGAACCCTAGGAACCCCTGGTGTCATATGAATCATTGTGGTCCCTGAGGAGGCACATTAGTGTGGCTGGCCTAATGCTGCCAGGAAAGATGGAGACCACGCCCAACCACTCTTCTGGACACTCGCTAAGGCTTAGGGCACAGGCCAAGGCTGACGTTGCTCATTGAGTTGGGAGTGGTTTACTGTGAGTACAGACATAGAATGGGATACTGGGGGCTGGGCATGGGGTAAGGGTTCAGCTGAGGATTCTGGGATCATAGGAGATGGACAACTACCGGCGTGCCATGCAGAAGATGGCAGAGGACATCCTGGCACTGAGGAAGCAAGCCAACATCCTGGAGGAGGAGAACCGCACACTGAGGAGTCACCTGACCCAGCAGAGCTTAGAAGAGCAGAGCAGAGCTGAAGAGGAGAACCTGGGTGAGCCTTGGATACGTGCTGGGCCCAGGCTGAGCTGATCGTAGCCTGGGGCTCACACTGCTCATTGCCAGGGTGATAGGGAGCTTTCTCCAGATGTCATCCTGTGTCCCATGAGTCCCCCGGCCCTCTCACTCCTCCCCACTGTAGACATATTTGTACAGTCTGCCCAATTGTAACATCTTGGGGGGGGGACAAAAAGTACACTCCTGAGTCAAACCTCAGAGCCAGGGTACCCCCTTGCCCCATATACTCTCAAGCCAGCTTCCTCCTACCTCAGCAGTGTCCATGAAGCAGAGGCTACTGCTGAGTGAACTGGATATAAAGAAGCTTCGAGACAGGGTGCAACACCTACAGAATGAACTGATTCGGGTGAGCCGGCTTGATGGCCGGAGGGACAGTGCCACCGAGCAAAGAAATCACACGGGGGGGGGGGAGGGACAGGACTGGCTGGCAGTGTAAGGTTGAGCGGGATCTCGCACATACCCTTGTGACCGGGGTAAATCCCAGGTACCCATTCACCCCCACCCTGCAGAAGAATGATCGAGAGAAGGAGCTGCTGCTCCTGTACCAGGCCCAGCAGCCACAGGCTGCGCAACTGAAGCGGTACCAGGACAAGCTGCAGAAGATGAAGGCTCTGGAGGACACTGTGCGACACCAGGAAAAGGCATGCTCTGGGCTCATCCGCAGAGGAGGGACTGCAGTCTGGAGGCTGGGGAGCTCTCAGGCCAGCCCAGCCTTGGTCTCTGTCGCCAGGTGATTGAGAAGATGGAGCAGTTGTTGGAGGAGAGGCTCCGTGAGAGGAAGGAACCTGCACCATCCAGCAGGCTGCAGGGGGAAGCCCGGCATGGGCGGGCCTGCTCCCCAAGGTAGATCTCAGAGTAAATGATGTTCCGATCTTTTGTCTCACCCTGGAGCGCCCCCCTCCACCCCAGCGTCACAAGCTAGAGAGAGACGCCTAGGTTAGTATTATACCTCTCCTCTCTTAGGTAGAGGAGTATTGAGGGCTTCTATGGTGTTCAGAGTCCCTTAGGTCACAAGGACACTGTGTGAGCCAAGTAAAAACAGACCAGACCTCTAGGGTTGAGGCTCCATGAACCACAGGAACAGAGAGAGACTTCCCCAGATGGAGGGCCTTCTAGGCAACAGTTCCCAAGTCTTTAGCTCCCCCCCACCCCCACCCCTTGGCATCTTATCTATTCTGCCTCCACAAAGCAAAAAGACAAAACCGCCCTGAAGGAATCGGTTTATTTTCCACATCAGTGGAGACCACAGCTATCCACAACTGTCAATCAAAGATAGCTCTGATAAGCAGGAAAGAATAAGATGACACTGTATCGGGCCACTCATCTCCCTGGCTATGTGGAGAGACTCCCCGAGTATCTCTGTAGGCCTGGCCCCGGGCTCAGTCTTCACTGATGGCTAGGCACTGGGGGTCTGAAAGTCTTCAGAAAACAGTGGTAGTTTCGGGGACCCTTAGCCACACCTGGAGTGTGGGCTTGAGTCTATGGAGGAGCAGAGAGGGACCAGAGAGACAAACGCAGGGTCAAGTGAGTCAGGAAGAAGACAGGGGAAGCAATGGAGTAAGATTCTGAATGGCTGGGAATACAGCCTGAGGGATATGGACTCCACGGCAAAGGGGAATCATTGATAGCTGGGAGCAGAAGGGAGCAAAATGCTGGGGCAAGCGGGGACAAGGAGGCAAGAAAGTCAATCTCACAAGCACCTGTGGACATGTTCACAGCTTTCCCCGTGCTCACAGCCTCTGGCATTCACCTGGGTCCCACGGGAGAGAACGTGACTGTGGATCTTTACTCCGTGCTGCTGTCGGAAAACACGAGGCTGCGGGCAGAGCTGGAAAAGAACCGCCAACAGCCAGCCCCCATCATTCTGCAGCAGCAAGCCCTGCCGGTAAGAGCTGCCAACACAGGCCTGGCTTGACCCAGCCAGCACCCATCAGCACGTACCCCTCAATCAGCCCCAGCACGAGCCAGGTTGAAGATCCAGCCCAGACTCTGGACTTCCCAGCACCCAGCGCCGCTGGAGACATTCGTACTCATACCTTTTACTTGCATTTGTGCTCCTAAGATGAATGTCTTGCCCTCATCTAGCACCCTGGGAGAGAGCAAGGCTCTGGCTCACCCTTGACCCCTGAACCCTGACTTCATCTGCCATCTGAATCGCTCCCACTTGGACACCCTCCTCCCACCATGGGCCTCTCAGGGCCTTCTGGGATTGTGCAGCCTTGGAGAGCCCTTTTCCCCATCCCAGGTGGATCCCAGGGAGTTGGGAGCAGGTGGAGACTTGGCAGAGAGGCTACGAGACACAAATGGCCCAGGCCATTCCAAGTGCACAGAGACCCTGCCAGCACAGGTGGGTGTCCAGGGGGGGCTACCCCACTGCCCAGGCCGCTTCAAGTGTCCCCACTGTACACAAACCCAAAGTCAATATTTGGAGGTATGGTGGCAAGAGGACACGGGTGAGTGCTTCTCTTCATCCAGGAAGTGAGATCTGTTTGGAATGCCCCAGCGCATGGGCAGACAGGTAAAGCATGAGAGATGAGCATCGTTTGTTTTGCTGAACCTTCATCTGCAAAAAGACTCCTAGTTCAGCTGCCTCCTGGGTATTAAAGGGAGCTCATTAGTGCATTTTGCATAAGCAGTTGACATATTAAAACATTGGGTGTGAGTTGGATGTGTAGTTCAATTGATAGTGTGCTTGTATAGCATATATGAAGCCCTGTGTTTGATCCCCAGTACCACATTAACCTACACATGCCTGTAATCCCAGCACTCAGGAGATGGAGGCAGGAAGATCAGAAGTCAAGGTTATTCTCATTGCATAATGAGTTCAAGACCAGTCTGGAATATATGTGATCCTGCCTTTAAAAAATTAATGTTAGATTCCTCTAATCTGAATGGGAAACAACACGGGGAACAGTGAACATCAAGCCCTCTGCAGATCTTAAGGAAGAGGTTCCGCCCAGGAATGAGGCTCTGTCTCTACAGCTGATTTTGAAACACACACCTGGCTGGTTTTTCCTGCATTATCTTGCACTCCTCAGCTCTCAATGCCTCAGCGCCCAGCTGGGGCCTCACATGACCGTCTACTCCCACAGGATCTCCTCGGTGGTACTTCAGACAAGTTTAACCTCCTGGCCAAGCTAGAACAAGCTCAGAGTCGGATCTTGTCCCTGGAAAACCAGGTAGGTGAGATGCTGAGGCTGATCAGGCTGGACCAGGCTCACTGTGCAGCCTCTGGCCAGGAGCAAGGCTTAGCATACAAGCAGGATCAAGGCTCAATATGTGACTACAGAATTAAGGTCCATTATGTAACCAGGTCAGCCCTAGTCTATGACCAGAATGAAGGCTCAGTGTAGACGCAGCTCAGAGTGTGGACTCCATATGACTGCAGAGAAGATCCATCTGTGTCTTGGGCCTTAGGCTACCTGTTTGACCCCTCACTCTGCTATTGACAGAGCTTTACCTTTTCCCAGAAGACTAGCCCAAACTCTATCCTAGCTCTGGGACAGGAGCTGTGCTGACTGCTGGCTTTCCAAATGTTCCTCTCCATGTCTGCAGCTAGAGGACTCAGCCCGCCACTGGGCAAGAGAGAAACAAAACTTGGCCATACGGCTTCAGGAGCAACAACATGGCTTTGGACAGCCATTGAACTCCATGATCATAGACCAGCCTGTGAGTGACCCTGACACAGGAGTTCCTGGGGATCCTGGTGGTAGGCTGGGCCCTGAGAAAAACTTGGGGAATAGATCTTAAGCTAAGTATCAGAAGTCTTGAGCTGAAGTCCTACTGTCAGCAAACTGGATACTCACGTGACCTCCTTTCCTCCACTCATCTGAAGGGATAGGAATGTCTGCCAACATGTCCCCTTTCCCACTGGTTGTCCTGAACCTCAAGGAAGAGATAACTGTGGGTGAGAAATGGCCTACACAGGCATTTCTAGAATGTTCTAGATTTACTCTGGCATCATACATGGGCAGAATACCTTGTACCTCTCCCCTCCCAATTTCTAGCACAATAGATTTCTGTTTAGCTTTCTTCTTAGATGACATCAATACTGGGGGTAGATTCACATTATAGCTCCCACAAGCCCAGCCCTGGGGACTTCATACCCTACAGGAAAGGATCCTGACTCTCCTACTTTCCATCTATCAACACTTGGCAGCCAAGGCTCAACTGGCCCTAGGCAGAACCTGAAGACTTCAAGGAGTATAGGGCTACCTCTGCAAGCTCATCTAGTCCTAGGGACCCAGGGAAATTAGGCATCACCTACAGTGATAAAATGGGCTCCAAAGTTATTCAGAAGCTGCAACCTACTGGGTTTGGATCCTGAGAAACATGACTTGCCAGGCAAGGTGCCCTGAGGCAGTGTACCCTGGGAATGGGGATGTACTTACCTGACCTATATTGTATGTCACAGAGTGCTGGAGTGGCCAAGGATCCCCAACAGTCCTCCAAACTGGAACCCTCACTGCCCCACTCAGACATGAAGCTCAACAGACCCTCCTACATTGAGACCTCTAACCTCCAGAAGATATGAGCCTGGAGCTGGCCTCCTTCCCCATGTGCTGGGTGGGGAGTTATCCCCATCCCAAAGATGTCTTTAGTAAATACTGTAACTCAATAAGCATGTGTCTCTTTCTTGGAGCAAGGCAGCCATGGATCAGCTGCTCTTTTCACATTCAGCTTGGTACTGAGCTCTCTGAGGCTGCCTTGTACCTAGTTCTTGACCTGGAAAGCCAGAGCTATGATAATCCTTGGAGAGTCCTGAGAAGGGAGACCATGGAGACAAGAAATAAGGTGCTAAAGCCAAGCTCTGTGCAAGACAAGAGAGAGGCCATGTTTCCCTCAGTTCCCAATATCTTTTCATTTCTGATATCCTTTTGCTCAGGCTTAGGTCTTCAGAGACTCCTGAGAACAAAAATACTTGAAGCCTTCCTATGACACTACTCATATATCTCATTATGGTTGGCAGAGTTGATGATACGGTGTAAAAATGTAGTCAGAGGCAGGAGGTCATGAGGGCTGGGGTCCCAGCTAGCTTGGGTTCTGGCCATGAGCATTCTGGGTGACTCTGACTGACTGGAGATCTCTCTGACCTTCAGAGTCTTCATCTATCCAATGCAGAGCTGTCTGCCTTGGCAAGGGGACCATTTGCAGCACTGACATTTCTGAGTCATCTTTGAGAGGAAAGAAAGGAAGCATGAAGGACAGAGACATGGGAGAAGGGTCGTGGAGTATGGAGAATCAAACAGTTCAAGAAGAGAAAGGACCAAGCCAGCTTGGCCACTGTTCTGAGCAGGCCTAGCCTCCACACCTATCTACAGGACTTAGCCTCAGATAGCCGAGGGCCAGCAAGAATCTGGCACCTGCTCATGGCAAGATATAGAACCAGAGGAACTTAGACCTGGACAGGGACAGACATCATATAAGCCACATTCTGAGCTAGACCCCATCCTGCAATCTTAGAATATGCTCCTTCCCCCAGCAAGAAAACAAACCTGGGACATGCCCACAGGATGGGCAGCAGTGGATAGGAAGCCTGTTGGCCTCCGTCTTCAGGCCCCATCACCTCGCTTGAACCTCTTACTAGCATGATGTTTCACCACAGGCTTCAGCCATGGCCATGCCCAAGATGGAGGAGCCTTAGAAGAAAGTCCTTACAACCCCACAAAGGGCTCCTACTGCAGTCAGCCAAGCAGAACCTCACTCCAGTCCCACCTTCCATGCAGTTCCACCCAGGAAGACGGGGATTACCCAAATCTCTCTGGCCACCCTGTCCTCACAGCAGAGCTCCCTGGTCCATCTTGGAAAGTGCTACCTGATGGTACTCATCTCTGCTGATGGATCGCACTGGGATCCCTGGGCGATCTTAGGGTAGATTCTGCTAGCTCCTGAACTGGTGGTATGTGTGGGGGCCACAGGTAGGCTATATAACAGCTTCCCATCTTCTTAAGTGCCCCTCATCCCACTGTTGACCAGAGAATCAGGGTTCATCTCCATGGGGTTAACGAATGCCTTAGGAATCTGATAGGAATGAAAACGCTCCCCAGAGTTCATGTGTTTATTAACCTTCAGGGTAAGTAAAGGAGAGAGGATGAAGGAGAGGAGGGCCTGGCTAACCTAAGCAGTTGGCCACTGAGAGCTAAGAACCACCCCAAAGGAGCAGGTTTTTCTGGAGATACAGAGACACCCACCCAAATGCCCCCACTGGGCCATCTCCCCATGTGACTCCAGTCTGAAGTTCAGACAGTGCCACCCTATCTGTTCGTGGTTGTCCCAAGGTCCTTCTTGAGAGGCTGGAGGTTGAAGAGGATGGGCTTCTCAGGCATCAGGATGAGGTTGAACTTGGTCCCCACATCATGGAGACTTTGGAGTTCAATTCTAAAGTTCTCCAGCACCTGAAGAAGAAGAAGGTGACCTTGGGAAATGTTAAGGAGGATTTTTTCTCCCCTAGGTCACACACACTTGACATCTCTAGTCACAGGGTTGATATGTTAAGTATGATTTAAAGAACATGCCACCAATTATTCAGTCTTCCACCATGTCTAAATGGGCCCTGCATGCTGTTTCATAGCTTTAGGCTTTGACCTTAACTCATCTGCTAAGCAACCACCTCCTGAGTGGGGACAGATAGATCCTCAGAGGATGTCAATGGGTAATAAGTGGGTTAGTCCACATGGGGAGGCAGCTGGGAGCTGTGGGAGACTGTTGAGCCCTGATCCTGCACTCCCTGAATACTGAGACAGGAGGAGGAGGGTTGATGATTTTGCTGGGGTCATGGAAATCCCAGGGTGCTGACATGTCCCAGAGCCCCACTCACATTGATGAGGAAGATGGTCATCTCCAGCTCTGCAATCCGCCGGCCCAGACACTGACGAACACCCCAGCCAAAGCTCAAGTAACGGAAGTGGGTGGTATTTTTGCTTTTTTCCAGCCAACGAGTTGGGTCAAACTTGTTTGGGTTGGGGAAGAAGCTGGGTTCTCGGCCCATGGCATAGTTAGCCACCTGCACCAACATCTGGGAGCAAGTCAAGAAAGCTTGAGCAGTTCCAATTCCCCATAGTTCTGAGTGCAACCCTAGCCCCAGCTTCCTCCAGACCCTGCTTCCAAGCCTGGCTGCCCAGCTACCCAAGTCAGGACACGGCAAATCCTTCTGTCCACTGTGTAGCTTCAAAAAAGGCACCTGCCCCTCAGTGAGCCCTGATGAAGGCTGAAGACACAAAGAGAGGAATAACCCACAGGCTTTCCCTGTGCTTTTCTTTACCATTGAAATGCCTCACCCTTGACCCAGAAATACCAGTCAAGTAGCCTTGTAACCCTGGACTCCAGTACTCATTGCCTACCATGCCTACCACCACTACTGTTCATGTAAATTGAGACCACTGCGTCTGAGTGCTCCACCAATGCCCCAGCATCAGGGAGAAAGGCTCAGCTAGAAGCCCCATCACCACTATCTACCTGGAACTGAAGCCTGCTCCTTCCTCTCCATCTGACTGGCAGAGCCCCTGAGTCCTACCTTGGCAGGAATCCTGTAATTTCGAAGTACCAGGTCATCCACAAGATACCTCTGTACGGTCACAGAGATGGGGTGGAGTCTGCAGAAAGAGGACCCTCAGAGATAGATAGTCCCAGACCCTGGAACCAGGACATAGCCTCCACCCTCACTCCCACGCGAGCCTGGCATTTCTCCCACGCCAGCCTGGCACTTCAGCCTCCATTACAGCACTCCAGAGAGAAACTAAGGCAGGACCTGGTTCTTGTTTAAGTTCCCCAGTCCTACTCATCTCTTCTAAACTTCTCACTTCCTATTTCTAATCTCCACTAGCCCATCCTGGGAACCCTTCCTCAGGGGATTCGGGGTAGGAAGGCATGAACTTGCCTCAGTGTCTCCTTGATGCTGGCTTTTAGGAGTGGGACCAACTGCACCATCTTGACCATGTCTCCCTGGGCCTGACGCCGGGCAGCCAGAACCTCTGCCCGCAGCATCTCCTGTACCTTCAAGTTGTGTGCCATCTCATAAAGGCTCCACTGCAGGGTCATGGAGGTCTGGTAGGAATACATGAGTTGCAAAAGCCAGAAAGGTCCGTTACTTTAAGGCACCTTAGCATCTGTGACCCACATTAAAGAACTTCTCTCTCTTTTACTCTCAACTTCCATATCCAAGACCATTTGCAAAACCTTTGAAAGGACATTGTTTAGGTTTTCTCAGTGTCCAGTTTGTGATGTAGTCAATTAGTAAAGCGCTTGCCTAACATGCACAAGGTATGGAGTTCAGTCCCCAGGGCCATATAAACTGGGTGTGTTGGGACATTTGAGAGGCAGGAGTTCAATACTATCCTCAGCTATGCAAGTTCAAAGCCAATCTGGGCTACCTGATATGCTGTCTCAAAAAAAAGTTAATGCCAGGGAAAAAATATTCAGAGAGCTGGGCGGTGGTGGCGCACACCTTTAATCCCAGCACTCAGGAGGCAGAGGCAGGCGGATCTCTGTGAGTTCAAGGCCGGGCTGGACCAATAGCCTCCAAAACAATACAGAGAAACCCTGTCTCGTAAAAACCAAAAAAAAATATTCAGAGAAGGATTTATCTCTGCCTTCATCCTTCATGTCACCAGCTCTCACTCATCATATAACAATAGAATGTTAGCTATGTAGCCAAAATCCTCTCCCAGAGGGCTCCAGAGGCTTCCAGAAACCATATTTATACCTCTGTAAGGCTTGTCCACCTATGTCTAGGGCATAGCAGTGCAGGCCTTTAATCAAGGACAGCCTGGTCTACAGGGCAAGTTTCAAGACAACCAGCGATATACAGAGAAACCCCATCTCCCTAAACAAAATGAAATAAAACAAAACAAAACAAAAGCTTATCCACCCAAATGACTGTCATTCCTTTGGTGTCCCTCATACAACAACCATCTGCTCATGGTAGCAGGCAGGATCTCAGCATTCATCCCAACAGCAGAAAATGAGAATCAACCATCCTGAAGCCAGGTCATAGATTTCCTCTCCATCTTTACTGCAGTTGGTGCAAAAGGCAGACTGAGATTAACAATGTAACCTCCACGAGAGCCAGAGGCTGCAGCCATTGGTCCTCCACTAGAGGATGCACCATGACCCTCCTCAAGCCCCACAGTCTCAGAATCACCCAGGTCAGCAGACTAAGTCCATCTTAGGCCTATGCCTGGAACACCCTCCCTCCTGGGGCAGGGGACATGGATTACAGACATGTTGTCAAGGATCATATTTCTGCCCAAGAGGTTTAAACATACACACCTCTTTCTTCCCAGCAGAGACAGAAGTGGAAAAAATGTCAAGTTACTTCTTGGCTTTAAGTCGTGGCTCATCAGTGCCTCCAAATGAAGTACAGAGGCTCCAACCTGACCCACGGACACATGCCTGCTGCCACCCCAGCATCTCTCCAACCTCTTCAATACATGGCCATTGACCTAGTTACACAGAGCTGCAGACATTGGGGGATCTTCCCCAAGGCAATTCCTCCTCCTAGAATTCCTTTACCCACCCAGAAAGCAAATACAGACTCTTGAAACCAGCAACTCATGTGTGTTAATCTCAGAGCCTCCAAGGCCTGCCACAGAGTAGATACCCAGGGATAGCTGTCAAGCAAGG